CCTAATAACTACTAACAGATGTTTGCTAGACGAAGTCCTGGTACTAAAAGGCCCGACTGTGGAAGAACTTAGGCATGTATTACAGTCCTAGTCTGACCCGGTGCCTTCTCCCCTTCAAGATAAAGACGGAAATCCGGCTTGGTTGAGAAGCCAATCCGGTGCAGGTAACCAGTAACCAACTTGAATTTAGCAATACTTAACAAGCCTGGAGGTGATCGTCTTTTTGAACAATTCCCTGATCAACGCCTGGTTGTCATTTTACCAAATTTTAATCTGGAATTTATTTCCTAAACAGATTTCTTTTAGCGGGGAATCGGAGAACACGCATATTCCTAATCGTGCTATTTTGTCCACAAATTCTTATGTTGTATGTATGCATTTGCAAATTCTACGAAGCTGTTGATGCCTTGAGAAAAACATATAAGGCCGCGGTTTAATAAGTTCCCATTGATTCTGTAACCGAGAGCAGTGCCAATCTTTGGAGTTTGTAAAAGGAAAAAATAGGATTTTTTGCAACGCTTTTGGTCACCAGACTATGGCGGCTTAGGTTATAATCAGACGGACTGTGGTCCGTAGGTAAAGTATATCCTCTCGAAGCCCTCATTGCTTAAAAAGATATTCAACTAGTTTCTGACTGTGGTTTAGTTGGCCGAAGATAGCAGTGCTATAACTATTTGCGAACCAAGGAATACCTGGTCTGAATACTTAAATATTTTACTTCGGAAGAAATCTGAATAGAGACTCTTTTAAGGGTAGGGTGAACAAGGCCGGCCAAACTTCTCCTTCTAGTGAAGACCACAACACTAGTTTCGGATGGTTTAGCGAACAGCCCATTCGCATATGATGTATTGACCACCATATGCCTGAATCCTAATGACCTTGTTCCCAAGAATATAACGAATCCAACTTACCAGTAGAGAAACTACACAACAATACGAATTCTTTCTTAGGGGTGCCATTGCTATGTTTAGCAATTTAATTTTGTAGAGCCATCTCACCAGATTTGGCAACCTGAAAGGCACGTTGATGCAAAGACTGAGGATGTCACTGCGAAACTCAACTTCTATTAAACTTAGGAAATAATAATATTTGCGAGACATATTTATGATTCAGATACCATACGTCCACAAAAACAGACAAAAACGGAATTCATATTTCATGTCTTGGCGAAAGCGAACCATCAGACCTCTTGAGTGAATCCGGCTTAGCGGTTGGGCCAGTTTTAAGAACATTCTTCAGCCTAGCTGTTTGACTCCAGGTATCCATACCAAAACCCAATAAGGGTATTGCACTTGCTAATGGTACACTTAAAGCTAGGAGGTGAATATCTGACTTCTAGCTTTCATTTGATCATTTTTTAGTTGGACTAAATAATATGCGTACCAGGTCACATTGAAATTGCGGGGAACTGGAGGCAGATGAGTTATGACTTGGCAAGGAAGGATGCTGTCGAGTTGATCTCGCCGAGGAAATATAGGGAGGGAACATTTGTGACAAGATATGGACTGCTCTTTGACATATCGGCATCTTGTCATTTCATCCAGTTTCGCTGGGCGAAAACTAGAACATTCAATCGCAAGGTCTTTCTGGCTGAAAATGGCGGTCACGGGATGTCCTACGGCCCTCAAAGGAGCAAACTCAATTCTGGTGGGTGTTTTGACGAAACGCTGTCCGATTGTGATTCAAAATATTCTCTCAAGCTCTCCGTAATTACCGTTACCGTTTATAGTGCCAACACAAACGGCTGACTGCTTGTATTGGTGAAGGAACCAGCAGGCCTCTTGAGTGAACTAAGCTTAGCAGTTTGGACCAGCTTAAAAGATTCTTCGAACCTCTTCCCCAGGGAACAGGTTGTATATGTATTTATACATACTTAAAAATTCTTGACCATCGAAAGACTACCAATAATGCGCAGATCAAAGTCGGATCCCGAAATAGCTTACCCAACACTAATAAGTATTTAGTTACAGTAAATCAAATTATAGAATGTCTTAAGATGCTGCGCTAAGTGTGCTTATGTACCTATGTACGTACATTATAGGGCTATTCGCGATTCGGTGCATAAGAGCTGACAAATTTATGCAATTGCAGAAATATGCCATGGATTGTGAGCGACCTTTATTAAACTGTCATGGTAAAGCTTTTGCAAAACAATTTTTGTGCATCAGCTTTGGTTTTGTTTATGAATGCAATGCATAGCATTTTTATGCTATGGATTTTCGGTATTGCAAATTTGCCAAGCAATGACAAATGCAAATGCGTGTATTTTGTTTGTGTATTGCAAATAATTTGCAATACAAATTTGCAATGCAATGATGCTAGGCCATTTGCACCGGATCGCGAATAGCCCTAGTATGTATGTGTGTTTGTCCATGTGCGCGTATGGAAAATATGACGAGCGTCCGATAAATACGATTAAGCGCGTGCCCGCCCTCGCCAGTTTCCATTAAGGAAGTAGAAAAATCGACAAATTGGTTTTTCACACCACCCAGCACAAATGCAAACAGGACAATTCATAAACATATCACCACCACATACACACTTACACTTCACTTTCGCACTTAAAGAAAATATCAGAAGCTGAAGGTAGCGCAGCAGTTTTCTCATAGCAAATCAAAGCTGTTGGCTGGTAGATGACTTTATGACATGGCACCTGCGCTCCCGCTTGACAGCAGTGGTCGAAAATAGACTGAAATGCAATTTGGTGTATTTTGAAAAGAAATTCAATTTACTTTTAACAATGCTGATTTTGATGTTCACCAACTATGCACCTTTTCATAATGGGATTTAGTTATTCTATTATTGAATAAGTGCAATTTTCGATACCGACTATTAGTTAAGTTAAACGTTTGTATGTAGTACATAGATGAGAAGTGTTTGGGTGTAGTGAGCTTTAGTTTAGCGGATTCATACATTTCTTCAAAACTTTATCTTATTCCCCTCATAATGCGCTCGAGCCCTATTAAAAAACTTTACATATGGACGTATGTGCATCCTACCAACACATTAACAAAAACAAAAGTTTATTGGCCTTTCGGATGTAAAGCATTTGAAGTACCGATAAATGTGCGGAAGGAGCTCCTATTGTACGCATATGAAATAACAGACATTCTTACTGTCTTCCAAGGATGAGATACATAAATATACCTATACACTCCCTGGCTCATTTCATTGTCCATATGCATCTAAGTAGGTGCCTGTACGTGACTGGGACACATTTTAATTTGTTATCGTTTTTTAAATCAATCGTTTAGAAGTATGCGTTTTTAATCAATACTTATTAATTGTATGTATTAAATTTTTAATACACTTTTACACTTTTAACATAAATGTCAAGGCAGATATTTTAAAATACACTTCATAGCAAACAAATTTTTTTAAGTTATTATGAATGGATAAAAGGGACATCTTCTTTGAATTCAGTACTAAAATTTGACATTTCAAGTGCTTATCAAAACTATATACATGTTAACTAGATTGGCCATTTATCTTAAAATTATATAATTTTAATTATTTGTTTATAAAAAAGCACTTTAACAAAACCCGTATAAATCCAAGGTTTAATCTTTGCGCAACATTAATAAAATCAACAAACTTTCGTAAAGCTTTTTAATTAGATTTCCTATAAATACATATTTTGAGTATGCAGTTTTGTAGCCCGATCAATTCAAATAAAGCGCAAGTTTAAAATACATAGCTGCGACTTATCGTTGATTTTTAATATTTATTTTTTTTTTGATGAAGGCGTTGCTAATTTTCTTCATTGAAAAAATCGTCGAACATACTTAGATAATATAGAAGAAAATTATCGACATCGTCAAAAATATGTCATACATCAACTGTAAATCACAGCTACTTTAAATTTGCCCTTTATTAGACCAAAATTGAATGAGCTAAAAAACTGCAAAATATTAAGAGATAAAATTGGAATAAAAAGTTCGAAATTTTTACGAAAGTTTGTCGATTTTTTTTTAATGTTGTTCAAAGATTGAACTTATTTTAATTTAGTGTTTGGTAAGGAATAAACTATATTTTTATGAACAAATAATTCAAATTAAAATATAATAAAATAAATAGTCAAATCTAGTCAATATGTGAGTGTCGTAAAGTTATGATATTTAAGAACATCTCTTTCTTAATTAACGATGACACTGTTTCTATATGAAGCTGATTTCAACATTTTGTTTTAATAAAATTTAGTATCGAAAATATTCTTTCAAAACTTGCCTAGGAATGTGATATAATGGTTCGTTCAAAACCCTTTTTCAAAACTTATAAACGCAAAAACGAGAACGGCAAGACAAAAAGAGAATACAAGAATTTCCCGCAGTGAATTTTCAGATTTTTAAAACGGTATAGAATTTAAATTTTTAAATTTAAATAAAGCATGAATACCCCATGGAATAAACGAGTAGATAAAAAATATATAACGGTAAAACTGGCACATACATAAATATATGAAAGAATGCACTCAGGCGACGCCTCTAGCCATTGTGTGTCACAAATTTAAGTTATCGATGGAAATTATTTGTATTGATCAGCCCAAATCCTGCTTAATAGCTGGTACATGCGCCCGATCAGCTCTTCGATGCTGGTTTTTACGCCACTGTTTGCTGCTCTCACCTTGTCTTGGTCGAGTGACGCCACCTGTATAGCCATTCAAAAGCGTTGAGAAGTATATGCCCTCCATATCTCGAGTGTACTCTGGGCATCTGTTACCAGATTACCATCTTCGCCCCTACAGGAGCTATCCCCGTATTCGAAACCGTTTGAATGCTGTCTTATTTTCTGATAGAACATTCCTGTCTGCCAACATCTCAAACGTCTCGTGCTCACGTCCTTCTGCCGCACGTTTCTTTCTTTTCAATAAACGTCTCTCCTTAATCCACTTCTCCCGGTATCGAATAGAAATTACTAGCAATCTTTTCTCATTAAATTATGATCCTCTATTTATAACCCCTGATTCTCTTTGATTATTCATTCAAAACCCTTTTTTTTAGGACTCATTGTCAATGGCTTCATTAATGTTGTAATTACGACAATCGAGCGAAGATTTGGACTACGTTCGCGTCAAACGGGTCTTGTAGCAAGCGGCTACGACATTGCCTCTTTCGTTTGCCTGGTACCCGTAACCTACTTCGGTGGACGCGTGGGGGCATCAAAACCCAAAATCGTGGCATGGGGTGTCATCTTAATGGGCATTGGATCGCTGACATTTGCTTTGCCACACTTCTTAGTGAGCAGCTATTCGGCAACGATGAGCGATAGTAATGTTTGTCAGAGGAGTGATGCAAATGCCACCGCTTATGAGGTGAGTGGATACATATGGATGTACAATGTATGTAATTTAATTTTTTATACATATAGTTGTATGTATGTATTAGCACAATAGAAGCTTAAGTTTAGACTTTAAATTCAAATCACATTTTAATTTCAAACTTCCGTTCAAAAGTCCTGCAGCCACGGCGCGGATACCGCAGGATTGGCGGAGAAGGAGAATCTTACTTGGACAGTTTGGTTGTTCTTTTTGGCACAGTTGCTTCACGGCTCGGGTGCCTCACCACTCTTCACACTCGGCGTCACATATATCGATGAGAATGTCTCAAAGAAGATGTCCTCTGTGTATTTGGGTAAGTAAACTACTTTTGCTGCGGCTATTTATTGCAAAGTTGTAAGTCTTATTGACAGTGCATCGAACCAACAAGCAAAAAAAAAAAACAGTAAACAGTCTAAAAATATTTAATAAAAATTGAAAAGTTTACTACTGATGCTGAATGGTTGTTGAGGTCACAAGCTTTGACGGCTACCAGAAGCAGCGTCATATGCGCTGACAAAATTGGCCCAAAGCAATTGGCAGAGACAACAAATACAGTCGTCGATACAGTCAGCCGGCAATCAGTAAATATGCCGATAAATAGACTGGCACGCGGGCTAGCAGGCGATAAAGTGGCGGGTGTTTGGGTAGGAAGCAGCAATGTGTGGCGCAGACGAGCAGACAGATAGACAATCAATTCAAAAATAGTTGTTTGTTTGCATGCGCGCATATTTGTTACGATATTGGTCCGCTTGCAAAAGACAAAACTACAAAGGACTTTTCTTGTTTACGAACGCGGCGACAAATAATTCCTGATTTCGTTTGATGGTGCGTTTATTTTCTTCGAATTTTAATTGTGGGTGGTTGGAGGCCGTGGGGGGGCAAGTATGATATACTTATGTATGCATATATATATGTACATATGTGTGCGCTAATGCGTGTTGCTACATCTTTGTCTTGTATTGTATTCAACAAGCACACTCACATCTCCCCATGCATATGTATGTGACCCACTTTAAGTCGTGGCAAGCTTTTCTCCACTTCCGACATCATACATTTCTAAAAATATACAGTGGTGTTAAAAAAAATAGTAAAGCCGTTGGGTCTGATACTTTAGACTAGTTAAAAAAATCGAAATTCTTTATTTTCTAAGTCCGGACCGTGATAAAAGACGCCTGTCAAAAGCGCAGCCCTTAATATTAACAGGGCAATTCTAGCTAAGATAGTAAAAAGTCATGTTTATTCTCAAAGTCATGTTTATGTCAAAGTTTATTCTTCTGACGTTGTTATTTCACTCTTGCTTTTTTAGTTTCATCATATTTATCTTCTTCTCCATCTCCGTTTTCGTCAATAGTTTTACAGGTTTACAACGATTATCAGGCAACATGAAAAATAAACGTTGGATAAGCAACGTAAAAAATAAACATTGGGCAATAACTGTTATCAAACAACGTAAAAGTGAAATGTTTTTCATCTAATAACTGTTATGAAAAAACAGTTATTATATTAAATTTCAGAATTCTAGCAACGTTTTCAATTTGAAACAAGTGAAAGCACTTGTATATCATTTGGCTCGCGTCACTCCAACAGTCGCAATGGCCGAATGGGTAAAGCACAGAGATCCGAGTTCGAGTCCTGGTGGAGTTGATTTATTTTTTTATCTATTTTTTTTTCTTAATTAAATTTTTCAGATTTTTCATTTTTTAAAAGGAAATATATGCATATTTTTTATTAATTTAATTTTTAGAAACAAATTTTTTTTTGTAACTTAATTTTCTGGTTATTATTACGTTAGAAAGAATATAAATTTTTTTGTTTTTAAGTTAATTGGTTATTCTTTTGTTAATTTCATTTTTAGAATCTTATTAATTTTTGTAAATGCTTTTGTGATTTTTCAATAAAAAACATTTTAAATTTAACTTAATTTTTAAGTACTATTTCCTTCTTTTTTGATATTTTTTTTCTAATCCAATTTTCTTTTATTTATTAATTTTTATTGTTTTAAAGCGAAAAATACATATGCTTTTTAATTTAATTTCATTAAAAAAAAATTTATTTCTAAAAGGTGAACAGCATAACGCTATGACCTCCTTGTTAGCAGATCTTTCAATTAGCCTTTCGAAAGGCTTACTGCCTTGAAGATAGTTGCCAGAAGTGACAATTGTCTTACGAAAGGCTTTTGTCTTTCGAAAGACTGTGGTGAGTTGAAAGACAGTTGCCAGAATTGCCCTGTAAGATTTAAAAGTCGTCCATCGCGAATTTCCATTTGAACACAGGAAAAAACACTTGCAATTTGAAATTACGGAGATATTTCAGCAAAGAATTAATTGAAATATAGTTTTTAGAAAATACCTTATAAACAGGCAAGTTAAGGTATTTAATAACTAAGGAAGAGGGTAGTTTACTCATGGCTTATGAAGTGGTATACAAATATATCTGGATGAAGAAGGAAGTGCAACATTACCGGACAAGTACGGAAGGTAACAGAGAGGCTAAGTCCTTCACCCAAGAAATATCCAGAAGCAGAACCGAAGAACTCCTTCACCTTAGTAGGAGCGAAGTAAGAACTGATACAGGCTTTTTTACGGCCACTGCAGGGTCATGTAACACTCGCCAAACAAAGGAGTTGTTAACTCTGACCATTGCAGCTTGTAACACGACGAACAGGAAGCAGCAGAGCATATTATGAGCCACTGTGAGCACCCGAGTTCCCTTCCTAGGATCAACATATCTAGAAATATATGACTTAAATGGCATTCAGCCAAAATACTTTGCGAGGTTCCTAACCATACGTTGATTGAAGAATACCCGTAGCCAAATAGGGATATGTTACAATAGATCGGTCTCCTCCTCTAAATCTATGATAGGGGAGCCCAAGAGTGCATTTCGGTATTTATTCGAGCGCGACAGGTTAACATATATTCCATACTTTGCAGCTTGTTGTCAGATTAAGGAATGGTGGGTTAATTACATTCTGAAATGTTTGCATTTTAATAATCTGACTATTTGAGCGTGACGTAAGGGAGTGGAAGGCTTGAAAACTTGCCGAAAAACCGTTACCTTGATGTTCTCGAGCGCGGTCGATTCAAGGATAACGGGAAATATATAATCTGCAGAGTTTCACAAGCCGAAGTAACCAAAGTCGCCAAAGTTTAGTGCGTGCTCCCGGTGATTTTAAAATTTCGACAGCTTTTTCTATGAAATTGGTTGTAATTGCTTAGTGTTTTCCATTCATATTATTTTGAATGTAGTTTTCGTTTAAAAGGTAGGCAAGAGAGGGCATACGGTGCCTAAGGACTTCAGACCCATCAGTCTCTCATCTTTTGTACTGAAAACTTTCGTGCGGCTACTGGACATGCATATTCGTTCAAAATTTATGCAACGGAGAATTGTCTACTGCACAGCATGCTGCAATCTGCGCTCCATGAGGTCGTACACAAGGTAGGGGCATCGGTGGAAAATGAACAATATACGTTAGCGGCCTTCCTGGACATAGAAGGGGCATTCAACAACGTTGGCCTAGAGGCAATAGAGCAGTCGCTCAGAAATCTGGGGATTGAGAACTTCCTGGTAAACATATATTTCCAACTAAACAAAGACAAAATTCTGTTCCAGCAGGCATAAACCCAAGGCGCTTGTATAGGTAAACAGGAGGCAACCTAATTTCGAATTTACCTAACTATTCGGTCTTATTACTACTTAGCGAATAACCAAAGAGTTTTACCAGACTGGGAGTCGGTCGAGGTTCTCCTTAAGATTTTCAATCACTTTCGTGCAAAGCTTGGTAACAGATTCACAACGTATATGTACCTCCAGCCGTTGTCAGTTTTTTTTTTTTGTACCTACTGTGTGTGGGAATCTGTTCATAAGCCGACTTTACTGTAGTCATGGAATAAGAAATTATGTGCCTCAAAAACCCAATTAGATTTCTCAGAAAAACTTGTTGATAATTTTTCGATGCTGTTTACTGTAAAATATTATGGGTTGCACTGCTATTTTCTTAAACACAACTATATGTGCGTATGCAACAAAAGCGCTGATTCAGTAATTTTTTCTTATATTTGCGCGGGTATCCGGCATTGTTTTGTGGAATTGTTTTGTATGTAGGTATCAAAAATGACATGGGTGGCAGTTTAGACGACAAACGATGCTAACCGCCTGATAGCGTGAAAATTTTTCGGCGACTTTCAATTGGTTATATCTAGAACTTATATGTATATGTACACGTACATATGTATGTATGTAGAGATTATAAAATATGCTCAATGACTCAATTGCCAAATAAGTTTGCAGTTAGAGGAACCCAGCGGACCAACCAGTACATATTCCCTCCCTCCAACAGTTAAAGCGCAACATCATCTTTGGAAAAAATTCGAGGAGTTTTGCAAATTTTGCATAAAAAACACGGCACATACAAAAATATATTCAAATTATTTAAAAAAATAAATCAATTATAACAAAATGGATATCAATCGAAATGGTTTTGTAAAGCTTTGTTTCTTGTTTCTTCTTAGGTAAGAGAAATATGTATCACTATATGGGTGCCAAACGAAAGGAGTTTCAGAAAGTAGTAGTTTAAAAAGATTGGTGAAGCGGCTACTGAGATACAGCATTTCAAAATAAGTGGGCGGAGTCACGCCCATTTTCCATAAATTTCATAATAGTATAATAATATTATTCCTTATCAAAATTCTACTTCCCATACTAATTTTCAATAGTTTGGATCCAATATTTACTGAAATATCATAGTTTATTGCATTTTTAAAAATACCGTTGCATGGGAAGTGGGCGTGGTTACAATCCGATTTCGCCCATTTTTAATACCAACAGATCTTGGGAAAACCGACATACCAAATTTTGTTGAGATATCTACATTTTTGCTCGAGTTATCGTGTATACGGACGGACGGACAGACAGAATTATTTTTTTAGACAATTAGACAAATGAATAGTTTTCTTACTTTGGTAACGTCATACGCCAAAAGTACCCAGCTTTTCAGGTTAATATTATACATATTTTACTGTAAATATTAGTGATGGTTTTTTGTTTTTGCTTATGTCAGAAATTTGATTCTCCTTCTTGGTTCTGCTTTTTTGGCGCTGTAACCGCCTAAACGATTTTGGCCGAGTTCAGCAAAGCACGCCAGTCGTTTCTCCTCTGTGCCAACTGACGCCAATTGGAAACGCCAAGTGAAGCCAAGTCCTTCTCCACCTGATCTTTCCATCGCAGTGGG